ATATATAATCATTTGTGCAATAACTAAATGTGTGTTTTTTAATTAATAATTCAATTATTATACAATTTCTTACTTTTCGAAGATTGATATTCCCTCGTTAATATAAAGTACTATAAATTTACATTTGAGGTTCTATATTAGGTAGGTACTTATTTTTTGTTTATTATTAGCAGGACAATTTAAAAATAAATTTTCTACCTATATGTCAGGAAAAAAAGAGGATTTATTGGGTTTAAAGATCTATAGTGCCTGAAGTGAGCAAGGTAATTGTAATTTTTGCATTGAATTTTAATATTGATTTCTTTTTTTATTTTAGAAGTTCTTCATAACATATTAAGTTACCAATCACAAACAATTTTACAATAAGTTCTTTAAGTTCTTATTAAAACATAATTCTTGATAGCATTATACATTCTATTTGTCTGATGTATTATAAAACGTATAAAGGTATTTTTTCTAGTTTACATTTTTTCGATGAACACGAGAGATTTCCTCCCCCTGGGGCTGTAGAGTTTAAGAGGTCCTTTGACGTGGCCTTGCACAATGCCAAGCAACGTGCCAGAAATAAAAAGTCTTACTTTACAAAACAAACTTTTTATGGGGTTCTTCATAAAAACAATTTTTATTAGCCTAATTGTCCAAATAAACATCAAAAATTTGTCATCGATTTTCCATGACCAAACAGTAAAACAAAAATAAAAAACCAGGACTCATCATCCCAGCAAACGAGCTATTACATAGTTTCATGGCATTTTTGTACTGGGCCTTTACAGGAATTTTTTAATAAAAATATTAATTTTGATAAAAGGCTGTTGTCTTGAAATGGCCTGTATATAAAACTTACATAAACCTTTAATTATCCTTTGGTTAACGCCATATTTTAAAAATGACGCCCAGTTCCTATAGTTTTAATAGTTAACTGTTATACCACATGAAAAAATAATAATAATACCTAATGGTTGTTAAATTTAAATAAGTAAGTAGATGCATTTTTTAATTTTTTCAAATTTTTACAAATTGTAGAACTCTTATTACAGACAAAATAACGCCAAAGAATTTAGTAGTTAGTAAGTTTTAATTGACAAGGTCAAAATGGGGCAATTGCGAATAAAAGTTAATAATGGCAAAACTTTTCCAAAGGTGACAGTTTAAACCTGATATGGCTCTCTGGGTTGTTTTAGCCCGTGCATTTTCTTTTCCTCAAAAAAAGCTTCAGACTTTCTGGGTCAATATAAGAATTCAAATATGGTATTTAAACTTACCAACTTAAGGAACACGAATTCTCGATAAAATAAATTTTTCTGAAGATGACTTAGCTAGAACATTTTTCGCCTGAAGCAGTATGCAAATTTCGTTAATTTTGTATGCTCAATTTATAGAAAATTGTTGAACTTTTCCTGTTAACAATATTTCGGATGACGCGGGAATCACTCGAAAATGCAATCATTAGTCGGCATTTACAAAGTTCCCAATAAAATAAAAATCATCAAAAATGACGATAACAATACACATTTTTTGTTACTTTCCAGACTGAACAATTTGACTACATATTTGAATTTAATTTTTTACCTTTAAAATATTAATTGGAAAAAAACTAGTTTCTGGAAAATCACTGTAAATTGTCTATTTATCTTTTAAAATTAGTAAAAAGATCTTTTAAACATTCCTGATTTTTCATCAAAAAGACCGCAAGTTTGCCGATAATAAGTCTTCCAAAAATTAATAGACGACGCCTACTATATTCTAATATATTGGCAGCTGCATTTGGCAGCTAATAAAATTTTAGAAATTTCCTACTAGTAAATTTACAGAAAAATAAAGATCCGAATTTATTTTTGTATCTTTTGTTTTGTTGATTCTTTCGACCTTTACTGGATGAAACTCCATATTATTAATATATGAATAAAAACAACATTGTTTTAAAGTTTCACTATTGTATTTATGTTTTTAATGATTAACAATTGTTTCGCTACACAGTAGCTTCTTCAGAATTAGTACATATTTTTATCAAGTGGCGGTATTTGTATTAATAAATTTGAGAAAATAAGTGTTGTATAAACATTATATCTGAAGGTATTAATAAAACACAATTTTGGAAAAACTAAGGATTTGAAAAGTCCAATCTAATATAATTTCATAATAATAATAAATATTATTATTTTTTTTAGTACTACAAGTATACATTCTAAAATAAATTTAGCAAAGGCGAGCCCGTCAATTTGGTCATTAAGAACAATATCAGATTTTTTTCTTTATATATACATATATAGCATCTTTAAATATATAGCTATATTTTGGAAAATCTGAACATCGTTAGCCTCGGATGTACAGATATAACAATTATTGGTAAACACGCAGCGTGACATCATTCAGTATAAATATGTATTTTTACCTTTTTACATGCTTTACATATACTATTATACTGTATTTTAATCTTATCAACAATAGTTATTATAATGTATAATTTAAAAAAAATCATAAACTTTCTATTTTTTACAATTAAATTTGTAATATCAATTTAAGAGGTTATATTTATAAAATACACATGTGCTATGCATGTGGAACTCATTCCGTGAATTTTTTTATAATGCCATATAGGTAACTACATTGTGTGGATTGTGGGTACCTACAGGTTTTTTATGATAGTGGATCAGGTCCCAGCAGCCGGGACCTGAAAATTACAATTAAATAAAAATCCTGACAGAGACTGCATTTGGTTGGTTTGATGATTTATTTTTTAAATTTATTTTGGTATAGAATTTTCTGTTATTGTTGGTTTTGTTTATTATAATTCTAACATTTAAATAATAATATTAAAGTAAATTAAATTATTAAACAGAAATACGAATTTTAAATATTAAAAATAATAAATATTAAAAATATGGGTACTCGAATTTTTTAAAGAAGGCTAAACCACGGCGTTCTCTATAGAGAACGCCGTGGCTAAACGCATTGTCTAACTATTAAGTTAATTGACTTTTAACGATAAAAAGTTTAGATGCAATCGGGCTGTATAATTTTAAAGTGAAAATGCGGTAAAATTTATTATACCATGTATATCTTGGGAATACGACCATTTCTTGACAGAATAAGATTTTAAACAAGTTGTATTTATTTTTACATTTTTAAAGCTCAAAAGTATTTATTTATTATTTTTTTTAGGTTTTGTATCATTTTAATGGTTTTATTTTTATATTGGTACCTACTCTTAAAATGAACCAGTCAAAATTCTACTATTTGAATTAGTACTAGCATTGTTTACTAATAAGATAATCGTTTTTACATTTAAATACTTACTTATTTTTTACTTCTTAAGTAGTTTAAGATAATTCACCATCTTTGACTATTTTTGAGAGTAAAAAGTTACTAATTTTTGTAATCTTTTTTTAATTCTTGCTGCCAAAATTTTTTTTTGGAAATCTAACTTGGCTTAGTTAAAAAAAATTGTAAGAAGGGTACACAAATAAGCTGTTTTTTTTTTCAAATTTTTAAAAACAAATTTAAGCGCGCCCCCGGGGGGTTGAAATTTCTTAAAATTCAATAAAAAAATATTTTTCAAAGTTAAATTTTGAATTTGGCATATTAAAAAACTATTAGGTATTAACTTAACTTAAGACACACAAAAAAAAAATATTTATATATTTTAATTTTACACTGCATATTAGAACTTTAAAAGCTTTGGGGCGGGGCTTAAAATTAAAATATATTAATAGCTTATAGTTTTTCAATATGCCAAATTCAAAATGTAAGTTAAAAAAAATGTCTTAATTTTAAAAACATTCAATTCCCCGGGAGCGCGGCTAAAATTATTTTTAAAAATAAACAGCTTATACAAATACCCTTCTCACAACTTTTTTTAACTAAGGCAAGTGAGATTTCCAAATATAATTATTTCGGCCCAGCCTAATGCATATAGGCTCCATGGTTAAATGGCCCTTAAAAACAAACAATGATGCAAAAAGTTCAGCTCAAAACAGCAACACAAAAAAGATATTTAGTTTTAAAATATTATTAACAATATTTATAGACAAATAAAACTAATTTTTATAAAAGTGACAGTAAAGCACCGGTTTGACATTCCCTTCACAAGAGACACCCCCGAGTTTAAACCCTGGCTGGGTCAAATTTTTTTAAATTTAAATCTACTAATTTATTTTTTTATTTATGGGTTTATCCACCAACTTTTCTAATTTAGTATCAGTCTTTGGATTGGCGGTGACGATTTGACTTTCAGTAGAATTTGACTATAGTCATTATTATTATAATAGTCTAAACAACCTAGGTTTAACGCTTTTCCGTAAGAAATTAAAACAACTCCTATACAACTCTCAAAACTAAGTTATAAACTATAGTGAATCTGATATAATAATTATTATGTAATTAATTACATCATTATTGTGTTTTTGTAATATTATTTTTCTCATATTTTTTGCTTTATATAATTTATATAATGGTTTGATTTTTTTTTATTTGTAAATTTTCGTTACGTATGTTTAATCAAACTTCATAATTTTGAAATGTATATGTGAATGTATACATATTATCAAATAAAGCCGTTTATTATTATTATTATTAATTATTAGTGACTGCTTTTTCGCTATGACAATTAGTCAAATATGACTTATAATTAGTTATTTTTGTCTAATTCATTTTAAGAGAAAACAGAAGTCTAAAAAATGTATATAAATATTTTTTAATAAAATTAAAATAAAATATATTAAAATTAAGTGTAGGTATGTACTAATGCCAAATAAATAATATAATTATTATTAATATTATTATTATGCCTATGCAATAGAAAAAGTAGGTATGTGTTAACTTTTGTTATTTTATTTTTAAAAGGTTATAAATAAACAGTTTTTGAATATTTTGTAAATAATTATTTGGCCAGTTCGTTTAATTTGGTATGTATACAAACTCTTAATAATGGTCAATTTTACATCGTTTAACATCCAATTAAAAAACATTATAGTACAAGTACAAAAGTAATAACATCTTACCTTTTCTGTCGTGATTATAATTGCTTATCAAAGTCCTCGGTTCTAGAACTGGCTTAATTTTCATAACAAAAGTGTCATTGAGCGTATCATCGACACAGTGGGCACAATTAAAAACCCCCAAAACAAACACGAGCGCGAACATTTTACGCCCCATTTCGATGTTAAGATTCAAACAAAATCCCGCAAACTAATTCAAATTTCGTTGCTAAAACCAAACACCTTTCGTGGGGGAAACCGTCCGAGTCAGCGATTCTACGGTTTGCTACTTGTTGTCCAATGTTTAGTCACTTCTGCAATAAATTTAAACAAGGAAATTTACTCGAAGGTATTCCTATTTAATATATGCGGAAGTCGAAGTTCTTGTTTTTCATTTTGTTTACATGCATAAACAAATTTAAATTTGTTGATATTTGGATCATTGCAAAAACTCGTATTTTTTTAATTTTGTGATTCCATTTATTTCAATATTGACATTTGGATTTTATTGAATTAACTAAAATACTTTTATCTTTAAGCGTTCTATAATTTAAACTTTATTCTAGTCAACCTCATAGTCTCTAAAAAACCCGTCTGAACCAATTAAAAAAATCGACTAGTGTCAGATCTTCCTAACCTCACTTTGTACTATTAATAATTATAATTATAATTATAATTGTACTTTTTAAATATTTTTAGACAAATAAAATTGTGCCTTGAAGATAAAATGTTGTATGCTATTCGGCTAGGAAGTGTCTTTTTGACCTCCGCTACGCTTAGCACAGTGTTATAACATAAATAACTAATAGTTATTAACTATTAAAGATAAAATAAATAACAAAAATAATTTAAATACAATAAAAATTCATTGTGCTTTAAAAGGATTATATGATTATTAGTACCTATTGTTAAATTGTGCAACAATTTTGGACACAAAAAAATTCACATTCATTTTTTCAGTGCTTTATTATATTCTTAAAATAAATATTATAATTTTTAAATATACCTACCTACTAATAGTACTTACCTACACACCAAAACAACAAATTTCTTATGTACCTACAGTGAAGGTCCTACACACCAAAACAACAAATTTCTTATGTAAAACTATTACACTTTAATCAAATTTACCACCTTAAAAAGTTGATGATAAAGCGAAAAACGAAAAAAGGGGCATTCTCCATGCCCCTGCACCCCGCTCACCTCCTAGGAGCGAGGACTTTCATTATGTTTACCTCCTAACTAAACTAGTCTAAACAAAGTTAATTTATTGAATAAAAAATTGTTTATTTGCAGCTACCTATTTATCTTTTTTTGACGCGTTTTATCCAAATTTTAACTAATAGGTTTCCCAAAATTGAATTTAAAATTTACATTAAAAGTACAATAATTGACCTTAGTACCATTTTTTTGGACCCATGGTCAGGGCCGAATTTAAACTTTTGCCGCCCTTGGGCACTGAAAAAAATGCCGCCCCATCATATCGTCGTTTATCTGACAAAGAGGCGTAACTCAAAAAAAATCGTTTTTGAGTTATACCAGAATGATCACCAAAATCGACTTTATAATCTCACAAACTGGCGTAGCTCTATAATAAATAGGTACAAATAAAGTTTTAGCATAAATCAGTTTCGGCGTAACTAATATTTTTGCATTTTGTGTGCCGTACAAACTGGCGTAATTCAATTCACACCGTTTTGTTTAAAAATGAGATACGCCTCTTTGTCAGATAAACGACGATATGAAACTTAGAAAGATTGTCGCGACAAAACTTCGTGATCTAAATTCGTACAATCTCTATTGCTAGATTCTAATTTTTGTGTAACACGTTCCTTTTTCGTAAAAAAATCATCTAGTTTGGGAGTTTTACTCAAAACCTCTTGTTCCTTTTTACTTTTGTCCAAAGCGCGCTTTCGATACTCAGATCCACTCAATTTTTTGCGTCCATCAGCCATATTTGACAATTGATCGTATATTTGAGGCCTGTCAGAGCAAAGTCAACAATCTCCCATCAGACTAAAACTGAGTAAATTGAGATAATTGATTTTGGTGTTTTAAATTCTAGATTTGTAATTTTTTTATATATTATATATTGTTGTTAGTCTAGTAGCCAACTACAAGGTCTCCAGGATGCATAGTATAGGTGAAATCTATAATTATAAATTGGAGATTGCTGACTTTGATATGAATTGCTCATTTTGTTGTAAACGTTTAAGGAGATTTAGAAAAATAAACAAAAAAATAATTGTTTTTTTATTCCTTTAATGGGTATAAATTTAACTATACAATCAATGTGGGAAAATTGTGAACTGGACCACATAAATGTGGAGTTTCTTTTAAATCTGGGACCAGGTTGCCTCGTGCAAAAAAGTTTTTATAGTACAACAACTCATCATCTTCCCACTTTGCCCCGTAATGTTTTACTTGCAATGTTTTGACATTATCAGCCTTTTCTTGTTTTACCTATACGTCGTATTATGGTATAATAATACAAAATATACAAGATAACTTTTTTTATCTACGCCAGTGAGATAAGAACTTCTTATCCCACTCATTTTGAGTGTATCAGAGTTCACGGAACCCATGTTGAACCCTCTTATAAAGTTTTTAATTAATTGTTTCGAATTATCGTCCTTCAATTTAAGGTTTGCAACAATACGTTATATTATTTTTTTATGGTCCTTTTCATAATAATACATGAATTTGTTTATTATTCTTTTTCTAGAAAATGGTTCATTTTATTGACAATAAACAAGAGTACCTTTATTTTAGTTTAAGGTTCAAGCTATGCAGATTTAGTTTTTTTAAGTCTTTGTCATACGGGGTGTTCAAAATTTAAGCATTAAAAAGTAAAACTTAGTCCGCCTCTGGTAAACAAAAAAAGCAAAACATGTTTCAATGACACTATTTTAAGAGGTCCTTACCAGGGTCCATCATATTAAATTTGTATTAAATTATATTTAGTACTTTAAAAGTTATTCAAGGAAAACCAATTTGCAGGGGAGTCCTTTCGGGGCCCATGTCTCCGTAAGGATGGCCAGTAGGAAAAAAATTTATAGGAACGTGTCACCTTATTTTTTCATGTTCTATCTGAATCCGAGAGATTTCCCACATTTTCCCGGACACCCTGTATACCTATTTTAAATATATTTTTAAGTGCCATTAACTGCAATAGAACTTAACAGTATGTAACAGTAAAAAAACACAAAATTAAATCTCTAAAATACGTTATAACATCAAATGTTAGGATATCAGGTGACACAAATTACCAATTTCTAATGGTGGAATTGGAGATTGTATACTTTGCTGCAAATCTATCAGTGGAGATTGTCGACTTTGCACTAAATGTCATTTTTAAAATAGGATTTTAGGCAGGATTTACCTCCTTTTGCAGCACATAAACTTTATCATCTTATAGATAATTAGTTGAAGTACAGTCTCCGCCAAAAATCTAATTTTTGACCTAAAGTGGAGATTGTCGGTTTTGCTATGACAGGCAGGCCCGTTCCTGGCGAGCGTGCAGTGCGTGCACGCACGCAGGCGCAACATTTCGAGGGCGCAAAATCAAAGAGTCAATCAGTACTTTGTAACGATAAACTTTCTTGCATATGATACTTAAACATACATTGGATAAAGGTTTCTGCCTTTTTTCGGTCGCTATAAAGCGCCTTTTGCCGCTTTGATATTGGCTGATTATTTTGTTTTGATATGAGGATCAAAATAAAAGGAGGGAAATGGTCATATTATCTTTAGTATGCAGTTGACGGTAGCAAAGTTTAACAGTAGTAACTCTCTAAAATGAAATTATTCAAAAATGACTAATTCAATTAGTCTAATTGCAATAGCGAAAAAGCAGCGACTAATAATAATTATTGCCAATAGTAATTTGTATCCCGGATATTTAGCAGTCAACTCCTATGTAAAATTGTCCGCTGAATCCGAAAATTTCGTCAAAATTTATAAAAGTAGAACATTTTTGAGATTTAGTAAATTTTCCATATAATATGGTATTGACTATATCTTAAAAACTGCTTTACTTTTATAATTTTTGACGGTATTTTCGGATTCAGGGGACATAATAATAAGCTGTTAAATGCCCGGGATACAAGTAGCTGTGGACTAAAGTTATTAGTGACTGCTTTTTTACTTTGAAACCCAGTCATTTTTAGAGAGTACGTCACTAAAAACCAGTTGTAGTTATTATATTGTTTAGATTGTTTTTTTTTTCTTTAGAGTATTTTTATCACTGACTATTTCCCTCGTCTTAATTTCCACCAATCACAAACGCGCAATTTTGAACTACAAATGGTTTCTAGGTGGAAAAACTGTATGACAGCACCTGTCAGTAGTTTATTCGAGTTTACCCGCGGCAAAACTTGACAGCTGTTGTCACCAAAAATTGCAATTTATATTTTAATTGTTAACTGTTACTCATGAAATAGTCTTGTCAAATACCATTCGGGCATCTAATTTTTCCTCTGAAAAAAATCGAAAAAACACAATGCTAAGTAATATTTTTTAACAAAATGCATTCGTGCTGGTGCAAAAATCCTCCTCTTCGACTCGGATTTTTGTTGCCACCAGCACTCATGCTTTTTGTTAAAATATTACTTAGCAACGTGCTTTTTCGATTCTTTTCGGAAAAATTAAATGCCCTTATGATATTACTTACGACTATTTCCCTCGTCTTAATTTCCACCAATCACAAACGCGCAATTTTGAACTACAAATGGTTTCTAGGTGGAAAAACTGTATGACAGCACCTGTCAGCAGTTTTTTCGGGTTTACCCGCGGCAAAACTTGACAGCTGTTGTCACCAAAAATTACAATTTATATTTTAATTGTTAACTGTTACTCATGAAATATTTTTCAAATACCATTTGGGCATCTAACTTTTCCTATGAAAAAAATCGTTAAAACACAATGCTAACCCAGATAGCACAAGATATCCTGAGGACATCCGGTTTAAATCCTTTACAGACGGTCGCGACCAGAAAACCGATGGACGTACTGAGGCCTAGGCCGATGGACATCCTGAGGCCAAGGCCTCAGTACGTCCATCGGTTTTCTGCCTGCGACGAAAGTTGAAGATACAATTTGATATCACCCTTTATAAAGGGTCTAAGTGAAAAAAAATTACTCCTTGTTTTTTATTAAAAATACTCTTTAATCAAGCACGATAAAAGATTTTAAAAA